TTTTTTTTTTTTTTTTTTTTTTTTTTTTTTCTCTAGATATGTCTTGATCCCGCAAAAATATACGCGTTTGAATGTTACACGCGATAGTAGTTTCCACGTTTGTGATATTGTTTATCATTCAAGTTAGATTTTAGGTTAAATATGTATTGTATGGGCGAAATATGAGAGAAGGAGAAGGAGTGACAATACTTTTCTCTGATTATGTTCTTTATTTGATAAATAGGATCTAATTGATTTTAACAATTTCGAATTATGTTATATTATGTTATAGGCAGGAATTTTTTCTGTGATATTTGTAAGAAATAGTTGTCATTGAATTTCGTCTATATACGTTCATAATACGTGCGTCAATATCATATCATCTTATCTATTGTTTATAGAAACACATTGCAAGACAGGCAACTAGAATATATAACGGGTGAACTGTTAAAAAGTAAGAACTTTTTGATGAATTTTGGAATAATCAAATATTCTATATGAAATACGAAAATAAAATATAAAACAACGTTTAAGCGAAATTGTAATGATAAATATATCAGTTATTTTATTATTGCATTTTCAAAGGATCCATAGAATATTCAATTTATTTTATATAATATACGATTTTTATCTTTTGAAATTAAGTTAGATTAAAATCTAGCATGAATATATACAGATATAATATGTATTATATAATAATATTGAATATATTTTTGTGAATACCATAAAAATTATGGCTGAATAATTTGATTATAATTTGATTATACTGAGAAAAATCCTCCAGAATGTTGATTTCAACAACATATTTCAATAAGATTATTGAAATTAGCAAAATGTACTTTTTTGTAAATAATAATTATTTAATTGCTCGGAATTCATGAATCATCAAATACGAAAATTATCTTATTAAATTCACATTGAACATAATTTAAAAAAAGAAATTTACTGAAACAATGAATCTCAATTAATCAGATTCTATATTTAAATTAAGAAAGTGTTCAATGAATCGAATATATTTAGATATTTGATATTTAATTTTTATTAAGTGAATATCCCAATATTAAGTTCGGCTGAGATTAAGAAAATTATTTTAATAAAATGAATAAAAATTAATTTCCGATTTCATTTATTATATAATTATTTTATAAAAAGATGAATTAAGATGAATTAAGATAAAAAGATGAATTATAAAGAAATGAATTATAAAGAAATGACAGTTATAGGAAAAGATATAGATGTTTTTGTTTCTTAATTTCTTATGATTTTTATAAAAATATGAATTATTATAATTCATAATTGGATTAAAAAATTCTTATCAATATATCTGCAATAGTACATTATTTTTTTAATCCAATGAATATCATATTGTATCTTCTTTTTCATATTAATTATATCACACAAAAATTTTCTCAAAATTTTTAAATATTTACCTATTTTAGACTGCATACAACAAAATCTCGATTATCTGAATTAATAGGAAGATAAGAATAAGGAAATTTTCGAATAATGGAATACAGATTTTTCTTAGATGAATTATTGTATATTTTGAGAAAAATAATACGTTTATGCACAATATAATTGAAATAATAGTATAAAAGATAGTTTGCATTATAAAATTAGAGATCTCATACCATTTTTGTACAATCACATTGCATAAATTTTTGTAATATGTAAAGGAAAGTGCACCCTGCAAATAATTTTCTAATTTCATCCATTTGTTTTTTAACGTTATTCTCACTGTTCTCTAATTTTTTAAGTATTTCCAATTTCGTTTCGTTACTTAACATACTTGTATGCATTATATGAACATATCCAAATTTTAAATTAAATTTTATTTATATTATTGTGAAGATAGAGAATACAACTATGATGTACAATTCGAACAATAAATTAATAGAAAATTAATTCAAATAATAGAGATTCTATTGTAATTGTAATCTATTGTAATAAAATGTTGAAAAGAAAATTGTACAAATTTGCAACAATTTTGTGATACAATGATATAAACGAACATTCCACAGAGATCAGAACACAAGAAACACAAAATGTACCATTGCAGAACTAATATTTATTTCTACAGATTTTTTTTTAAAAAAGTATAATATTAAAAAAAATTATTTTAATATAAAATATTTAAATAATGCTTTCGTAAAAAATTCAGAAATAAAATAGTTTGAATATTATATTCGAATATTATCATGATTTTATATCTGTTTATACAACGAAAATCACATGTTTCACATTCTTTTACAAAAGAATAATTTTTAATTTTCGTTCGGTTTTCTTTTATTTGATTGTAGAGATTTTTATTTCAAAAATATTAATGATTACTTTTGATATTTTATCAATTTTGAAAATATATATGAATTCAACCGATTTCTCCTTTTCTCAAATAATATATTAAAATTATTCTTTTTTAAAAGTAATTTACAGTAATGTAAAAGTACAAAAAGCGAGAAAAATGAATTTATCGTGTTTTTTTTTCAATCGATGAAACGTGTAATTGAATAACGAAAAAAATTTGCAATACAAGAGAAAATTGAGAAAAGACATGCGGCGATTAGTTGAAAATTATGAAAAACCAGAGAAGATAGAGCATTCAGGTTAATACTGGAATTGAGACATAGAGATTAATGGTATTTGCGATATTGGCGATATATTAATATCTCATCCGTTTCATTTTCCGTTTTATAATGGATAAAACACTACATTTCTTTGTTTGATGTTGCAAATAGTAATCTTATAACTATTTTAACCATTAAGTTTATTTTATCTATTAGAATTTTATATTTGAATTTTTTATCTATAGATACACAAAAGTGAAATTTGAAAAAACTTAATAACAAATGTATAATGTTCAAATGAGTACATACCTATGCTATTGTATTCGTCATTATTAAATTCGTGGGGAAAAACATGGTGAATATTTCATATCACTATGTTTCCTCTTCCCGTTTATCACAAAAATATAATATTATTAATTACAGTTCTATTTCAAACCATCGTGCTTTAAATTTAAATTAATCTCATATTCAATTCAAAATTCAATTCAAAATTCTCTTTCCTCAAATTATTAGTCTGATATGTTGTGAAGAATCAAACATGTATCTAAATATAATAATAATCTTCTTTTGAGAAGAAAAAATGTAATATTTGATTTATTCATAAATTTGATAAATTTGTAAATCGATTCAATTTTATTTTCAGTAAGATTATAAAAATAAAAAATGAATATAATATATAATATATAATATATAATATAATATATAATATAATGAATATATAAAAATAAAAAATGAATATATATAATATACAATATATATAAAACGAAGTTCAATTATTCAGATCTAATCAAATAGTTTTATGATACGGCTAATTCGTTTAATTACTTTTTGCTAGACGTAACAGCATTTAAAACTCTTTTACACTTAAAATAAATAACTCTGCGTTCATCATAAATTTAAAATTTCTTCTACGTAATTTTCAATTAATTTATTAAATATCGAATCATATCTTAATTTTATTTTCGAATATTGAAAAGAATTTTCAATTCTGTTCACCAATTAAACGAATATGTGATAAATTATATTTTTAGAATGGTAAGAATAATTTCATGAAAAAAAAAAAACTTCAAAATACTTTTTTTTGTGTGTGTGTAAAATTATCATTGAAAAGATCATTGAAGATATGAAATTTCTTACAAATTCGAAACGAAAGATATGAATCACAGATACATTAAAAATTACTATGAGATTTTAGAATTTTCTTTTTTTTTTTTTTATACATTTTTATTATTCTTTTATTGTTTTTCTTACATAGTTAGTTCAGTTATCTTATCAATCGAGATAAAAATTACCGATCGTACAAGCATTTTTGCAGAAAAATTCGACTGCGCAATTTAATAGGTACAAGTACAACAATGTATCACGAATACAAAGCTTATTACGTTTTCGATAAAGGTTTTCATCGGAGCATAAAAGGAGAACATTAACTATCGACGAATTAAATTCAATCGGGCGGTAATTTAGCTGTAATACATGTAATTTTCTAGAGAAACTTGTGCGTGTATATCATTATTATCCGAAAAAAAAAAAGATTTATCGATATATTGTTATATTGATTTATTATACGGCGAACGAAAATCACCAATTCGAATATTCAATTTTACATGGGATCATTTCCCATGCAACAAACAATTCATTAAACTGGGTGCTCCAGGTAATATTACACATATTAATTAACTTTTTTCGAATAAATGATCTACGTCAAAATTTGTTCTTTTCACTTTTATGTATAACTTCATTCATTCTTCATCACTCTTTAAAAGGGCACACAAAACAAACAAAATATGTATGTACTCGTCTTGATAATTGACAATAACATGATAATTTACAATAACATAGTTGGCATAGTGATTTTTCGAAAATTATAATTATATCACGCACGTATACAAATGCTTAAATTTTTAGTGAAAAATTATATAGCAAATTAAATTAATATCCAATACAATAAATCTTTCTGATATAATATATCAAGAAAAAATACAACCTTTGATAGAAAATATTTAATCTTAAAATATATCTTTAAAATATATCTTAGTCTTAAAATATATCTTTCGATATCTGTCACTTGTCTTTGCATCGACAGATTTCGATTAAATTTTTCGTATATAACTGATATAAATTTACAATACAAATATCGTTTGATTTTTCATTACAGTTTTAGATAAGAAAATTGTACATATACTTTTACTTCTTCGTGTTTTCGATCATAATTATAATTTTTTCAAAAATTTTTTTACGCGTCATCTAGTAATTCTTTCCGAAAAAAATCATTTTGTTTAATCATTTGTCCAATTTTAAAATTTAAAAATTATTCCATTTTGAAGGAGAATCGAATATTTTTCAATCAGAAGTTGTATTATTTCGACTAATTAATTTTATCTTATACGATATTATAAAATAAGAATCACATATTTCAATTTTATATTACATCATACAAAATAATATTAACATATCAGAAATAGAAATATATGATTCATTAAAAAATTCTCAAAATTTTTACATACAAGTAATTCTTTATCTTCAGAATTTATTCAAATTACAATATTATGTATGTAAAACATAAAACGAAAAATTAAAATATACAAAATATTTTAAAAAATAAAAAATTTCATTTCTTATATCGCGTATCTCATTATCAATGTTACTTTAGAAACAATATATGTGTATTTTCTTAAATTTTGTTGATAAATCTCAACCAGTTACGCATTAAATTCTTATAGAATCGAAGATCGTTGTACAAGAAATAATAAACATAGCATAAAGCCATATTAATCCATCAATAAATTTTTGTCGTTCAAAAAATATTGAGATCAAAGTTCACATAGATAATAAGGAGAGAAATATCGAGCGAATTTTCATGACTTAATTTGTTGATTATGGAAAATAGAAACAAAGAACGTTTGAAAATCGAAATTCGTTCAAGTTTCAACGATCGGCAATCGTTGAAAAAAAATATTTATAAAAGAAAATTGTTCGAGTTTCAATTTTCCTGCAGTCACAGGTTTTACGAAATCGCAGTACGTCACTGTGCGCCTATCGAAAACTCATTGCAAGTTTGTTGTCAAACTAGCACGTGTTCAACAAAAAAATGTATATAATATAAATTTACTTTTTTTCTTTATTTTCTTCATTTTTAATACATATCGTTTATAGTAACGTTTATAATAAATATTAGACTTCAATGAGAGGATACACAGTGTCAAGACAACTACAAATTTTGACATTCTAAATATTGTTTGGATGATCCTAACCTCATACAATTATCGATATAAGTATAATATTTTATATATAGCACAAATATCATTTAGATATTATATAAATAGTAATAGAATCATATAGATTTGTAAATTCTATGATACATTTATTAATTTGAAATAAAATTTTCATACAATGAGTTTGAAATATAATTTTAGAAATACAGCATAATTTAATTTCCTCTCTTCATAAATAATTTATGAATTTTTAAATTATTATTATTTCTTCTTCATTCTAACTATTCAATGAGTTACGAATATATTTCTAATCGTTATTTTTAATTTTACTACGTAAAGATCGTGCCAAATAAGTAAAAAATCGTACTTTTGTATATAATTTATAATATTGAAATTTCATTAAACATAATTTTAGATTTGTCAATCGCATTTTCCGAACGCGTGCATGCGTTATAATACGATGTTTAAAAGCTTAAATTTCATCACGTGAATATTTCATTACGACATGAAATGAAACGAAATAGGTTAGAATAACTAAAATCACGATTAAAAATATCGAAGAAGAGAATCATCGTTATCGTTCATGTATACGCAATGTTTCTTTCAACGATCTTTTTCATTACGTCTCTTTAAAAATGAAACTATGAAGCAACAAAAAAAAAAAAAAAGAAAAAGAAAAACTAGACTATTAATTTGTTACCTCAAATGCTGATTCCGCTCAGGGCGGACACTCGACTTATCTCTTTTTCACGTTTCTCGTGAACATTTCACCTTAAGAGTAATATATCACAATCCATTTTCACACGATGATAATAAGCAAAAAGATACACACATAACACTGGATCTTCCGACAATAAATCGAGGATCATCGGGTTGGAAGTTCGTAATTCCATCAATTGACACGATTCCAGCGAGTCTTTCTTCTCCACTTTGTCACCTTTTTCGTACGAAGAAAGTGGAATGATCTTCATTATAGAGAACACCAAGCATGATAGAAGATGTAACTTACACTGGTAATTGACTGATCGGAGAAAACGTACGTGTATAACCTTCGAGTGCGTACGTTTCATTGGCGGGAAAATCAAACACAGCCGGCGGACCGCGTGGTAGTAGCTACTGTGCGCGGTTACGTATATATATGTACGTCAGAGGAAGAGGAGTCTCCTATGAGGAGTCTAGAAGAGGAAAGGAAAGAGAGAGAGAGAGAGAGAGGGAGACAGACAGAAAGCGCGCGCGAGATAGGATAAGAGAGCGTGGCGCCCCTAAACGATCAGCTGATTCCTCACTGTCACCTATCGTCTTCTCAGTAAAAGCACAAACATGTTCGTCGGTATAGATGTTCGCCTTCTTTGCGCGGGACACCCGCGTGTACATATATACATATATATATATATACATATATACATACATCACTCGATTAGTCACTGTTGCTCGATACTCTTTCGCGAAATATAATTATTCGGTTCACCATGAATACGATCACTCGATATCGATAGCGATCTCTTAACAGTTGAAAACGAATTTTCCTTTCAGCTGAAGAGAGAAAAAAAAAACAAGAAACAAGAAAAAAAAATAAACAAAATTAAACGGAAAAATCGAGCGTCACTAAATAAATGTTAAGAGAAAACTGACCGTATCGTGTGGGTTGCGTGTGCGGCACAGCGGCGTCGGCGACGGCCGGTGAGTGAATGCGCCGTGACGTTAGGCGCCCCTCCTAAGATCCCCGCCCCTCTCGCTCCTTAAACTCCTCTCCCTCCCACATGACAACGTCGTCTCTCTTTTCCCGCACGATACACGCCGCCGCTCACTTCCTCGCGCACTAACTAACCAACCTCCCTCTCTCTTACCGGCCGCCTCTCCCCCTTTCTTCCGCCAACCCCCTTCTTCCCGGCATGCTTTCTCCTCTTCGTCACTTTACCGCCCCGCGCGCAAACCTACCACCACACCTCTCACCACCCCTGGCGTGTGTCCTGCCGCTCCAACCAACATTCGCGGACCGCCAACTACCCCTTTCCTTCCTTTCTACTTCGGGCAAATCTACTGTTCCACGCGAGACGCGCTCCTTCTTGTTGCCCTAACTCGCGCGTTTCCTCCTTCCCCCCGCCTCTTCTCTCTTCCCCCTCCCTCTCTTTCGCCCTTGCCTATCGTTTTGCTTTCGGGTATGTTCCCCTTTCGTTGAAGGTAGCACGAATCTACGCGCTCATCCGATAGAAACCGATAAGAAACGTTCGACATGCACACGAGGGATTCCCACCAGGGACGATCGGAACCCGGTATGTATCTCTCCTCTTTTTAACCTCCCCCTCTTGTCACCTTTTTTGAAAACGTCTGAGAGTATATATATATATTTTTTTTTAGTTCCTAACAATCGTTGCACCAGATTCGAATAGTTGATTCGAATAGTTGATTCAATGATTCAACGAATTCTTTGGAGGATGTAAATATTGCGGTCGGATCATTTTCAGCCCATTCGATTAGAAAAGCCGGTAATAATGATAATTAGATGATAAAAATTAGTTTGAATACATCGATACGAGATATCTTCACTCGTGAATTAATCATTTGTTTAGATTATTCGAAATTCTTAGATTTAAAATATCCAAGGAGAACGGACGCGAGGAGATTATTGGATGAAGGAAGATGGAGATAAATGATATTCGTGGCTCGAAAAATTTGAAGTTGGTGAAAATTATGATCGTGGATCTGGGACGAATAAATACTAAGCAGGTGTCGTAAAGATTTGGAAGGCGATGAAAAGCGAGCGACGAGGAGTCAAGGCCGCCGACGGAGGTGGCACCAAGGGGGTGAATTCCAAGTTCAGGACCTTTCGAAGGATCCTGGCTCGCAACGGGACACCATAGGGAGGTAAGAACTGTGTAGATAGTTTCCCTCTTCCACCTATACACTGGTGCAGCCTCCCTCATGCCTCCGTGTCCGTGTGCGTTTATATAGTGCCGCCAAATGCTCTTACGTCTTGTCGATTTTGTCGACGCGATAAACTGTGAGCTTCCCTTTCCTTCTTCCGTAAATCTTTTTCCTAACTAGATTCGAGTGGGTGGGAACGTTATTTAATGTCAATTTGGTTAAAAGTTATTTTTCAGCGTTTGGCTATCCGTGAATATCGAATTTTTCGAGGCAAGTTTTTCTTTTGGAAGTATGGAAATATAAGAAACGAAGGAAAGAGAGAAAAGTCTTATGTTTAAAATTCGATGAATAATCACTCGTTTCTAATTGAGATACTGTACGTTTCAAAGAATTCATTTCATTAGTAAAAATTATAAGTACATCATATAATGTTTGTTGTTTTTAGGATGGATTTAGATCCTATCAATCTCGAAATGACTGTATAATAAACATTGTCAACAATTAATACGAACGAATATTGTTATTGTTTGTTGTATTTTTTACGTTCTTTCAATGAAAAAGAAAACGTAGAGGATACAACTTTGCTCGAATCTGTTTAACATAGTTTCAACAATCAAAAAGTTCTTATGAAAGATTGAAATTGAAACGAAAAATCACGTGGATATATATTAATTATATACGATTCTTTTATATCATTTTTCAATTAAAATTAATTACCTAAAAATTTCTATAACCGAATATATATATATATTATCGTAAACATTTTCAAGCATGTTCCACCATATTGAAACTTTTGGAAACGGAAATGAAAACCATGCAATATTACCATTTACACTAACAGAATACAAACTTATAAGTTTGTACCAGTTTATATTATCTCAAATTTTGTAGAATCGCGTATCACGAACATTTTAATGCGAATTTCAATTATCACAGAGAAAGCTTTTACAAAGACTTTTCCCAATTTTCCAGAAAAAGCACACAGACTTTTTCCTCTACCTTTTTTTCTCTAGGTAGAAACGAAGCACGTTTTCGCAAGATTTTAGAAATCGTCGCATTTCAACAAAAAAAAAAGGGATAGACACGGTCACGTGAGGATCGGTATAAAAATAAGAAAAAGACAAAAAAAAAAAAAAAAGAAAGAAAACAAGAAAAAAATATCCCTTCTTACTTACCCGTAAAAACGAATAACTTGGCAGGTACTTCTGTATCGTATACACGTTCCGTTCACGTAAACAATTGCTTGATCCCAGTTTAAAAATTGCGTCGTTCAATACAAATCACCATCGTTCGTCTTCCTCGTACACGCGATCCAAGATACAGGAACGATTGACGTAATGCAACTCATAATGCGACATGTCCACTACTACCATTATCACCACTAATCCCTCCTCCTATTTGCGCACTTTAAAAAAAAAAAAAAATACCACCAGTCACTCCTCCTCTCTGCAACTCCCCCCCTGCAGTATGTAAATCACATCGTCCTCTTCGTCGAAAAACGTGAAACTTGACAGATGTTACACGAGGAGCACGTATCACGAGAAACGGTCCACGTCCCGTGGGATGATCCACATTCGTCTCGACACATACAACTACTACGCGTTGACCAAGCGGATGGCCGGTGATCGTGATTTATCATTGACCGGGCGGGGGTGGTGTTCCTCCTTTTCCTCCCCCCTTTTTCCTTTTCTTTT